ATGCCACCTTGCAGTCTTTAGAATCTCTGTACTGTAGGGCTTCTCGTGTGCGAGCCACCTTGAACTCTTCTGTGAGACCACTGAAGGGTAACTGCACGCTGTTGCTTGTCCCATACAAGGCAGCGCTGGTGAGACTGCGGGGAAGTCCCAGCCACTTACGAAGAAAGCCACTGATCTTTCTTTCAAGGGATTCCACAGTAGTTATTGGAACTGTATAGACAAGCAAGGGCCACAGGATTCGGGGCAGGATGGAATGCTGGTAGATCCAGGCTTTAAATCTTCCAGGCAAGCCGGACTTATCCACCTTAATAAGCCACGCTCCCAGCTCCTCATTTGCCTTCTGGATAGCAGTAGAGTCTTTCAGGCTGGAGTCAAAGAGTTTCCCCAAGCTCTTAACTGGTTGTTCCGTTATAGATGGAATAATGGTTCCTGAAATTGAGAACCGGAACTTGTCCGTCACCTTGCCCTTCTTCAGTACCATCGATCTTGACTTGGAAGGTTTAAAACTCATCCTTGCCCATGAGATGAGTCTCTCAAGACCTTGCAAGATCCACCTACACCCGGGAACTGATGATGTTGTAATGGTGAGGTCATCCATATAGGCTCTGATAGGGGGCTGACGAACACCTGACCTTGTTAACGGCCCTCTGCACTCCACCTCCGCAGCCTTTACCACCATGTTCATTGCCAGGGCAAAGAGCGTAACTGAGATGGTACAGCCTGTTATTATACCTTTTTGGAGCCGGTGCCAGTCTGAAGTAACTGCCCTAGAAGTGACCCTAAGCCTGAAATTGGCGTAATAGTCCAGGATTAGGTCCTTGATCTTGCTGGGGACATGGTGGAGGTGCAAAGCATGCTCAACCAGTTTGTGTGGGATCGACCCATACGCATTAGTTAGGTCCAGCCACAATACAGCTAGGTCGCCTCTGTTCTCATGTGCTTCTCTTATAAGGTGTGTAACTACACCAGTGTGCTCTAGGCAACCAGGAACTCCTGGGATTCCCCCCTTCTGAACTGATGGATCAATGTAATTGTTTCTAAGGAGAAACTCGGTCAATCTCCGGGAGACAACGCTAAAAAACACCTTCCCCTCCACGCTCAATAGCGAGATACTCCGAAACTGGTTTATGTTTTTCGAATCCTCCTCTTTGGGAATCCAGACTCCCTCTGCGCACCTCCACTGATCAGCAACTCTCCCTCTCCGCCATATCACCTTTAAGATCTTCCACAGGTGGCGGAGCAGCTCTGGGCAGCGCTTATAGACAAGGTAGGGTACGCCACTGGGACCTGGGGAGGATGCTGAGCGGGCTGCTTTGATGACCTCACACACCTCCTTCAAACTTGGCTCCGTCAACTTGAACTCTACTGATGGTGGGACAGGGTTGATGAGAGCTTTGTTTGGTCCCAAGTCTTGTTCCCTCAATGGGTCACTCGTGGTCTCATGAAGGAAGTTATTCACCTCCTCTGCTGAGCACTCCAACTGCCCGCTTCGCTTGACCCCAAGCAATTGTTTGGAAAATCGAAAGGGATCAGCAATGAAAGCTGCACGTTTCCTGGCTCTCTCTCTTCCTCGCCTCCTGTGCCATTCTGCTCTACGGAGGGTAATCAGCTTCTTCCGCAAGATGTTATGCAGCTCCTCTAAAGCTTGCTTCTCCTCCGCATCAGCGTTCTTGAACTGCTTCTTAAGGCTCCTAAGCTCCTGGCGTAGTTGATGAATCTTCATGGCCCTGCGGTTCATGGTGTAAGGGGTCTTGTTGTTACACTTCTCGATCAGGCCGAACCTTTCTGAGGCGTAGCTGACTATGATGGTGGTCATTGTTTTAAGCCTGCTGTCGGCACCTCTTTTGGCCACAGCTTGTATGATGTTGAAGACATCCTCATCAAACTTCTGCCACTCGCTCTGGCTGCTGGCTGGGGGCCACTTAATCCGCTGTTGTGGAACTACACTGCTTGGATTGGAAGAGTCCTGTGCATGGAGGGACTGGGCTCTGTGGGGTGCCTCCTGGCCGGGCTCCTCCTGCGTCTCACCAGGTTCAGGACCTGTGCGTTGCACCTCACTCTGCCGCTCCAAACATTTCATTCTAGCCTGATGGACCTTTAGGCCACGCTGGTTCTTGCACAGCTTGCCGCAGATACATGTCTTACTCGTAGTCCTTTCCATTGCATTAGTCGTTAACCTGTTCATTGTAAATAATTCGTATCCTTCCAGTCCCATTTCACTAACTTTCTCATTATCGAGCCATGTTTCTGATATTGCAATTATATTAAACTTTTTTAACTTACTTAAACATTCTGTAATTTTAGAAAATTTTTTATACAGGCTTCTACTATTGAAATGTATGACCGACAATGCATTTGCCATTTTAATATTCACATTGAATTGGTCATCTGTATAGTACTCACAAGTATTATTGGTGTTATTGTAGAAGTGGGTATCTGGGTCAATGCTACTTTCAGGGTCATTCATGTTGTGCTCTGCATAGTTAAACGTTTTGAAGTTCGTTTTCTCAGCGTGTGTGGCAAAATAACCACCTTGACAGTCCTTTTCATAATCAAAGTCTTCCTCTTCAATATCTCCGAATGGAAACCTATAATCTGTGTCCAAACTTGTCATTTATGTGTTTTTGTTGTTGTTGTTTCCATTGTTTTTGAGCCATAAGGCCAGAAATACTTTCCATACCCATTGTTCATTATCCAATCGTCACTTTTCCAATAGATTCCATAGCAGATTCCTGATTATTTATATTGCTCTAAGTCTTTGAGTTCTCTTATCATCACAACTTTCGCTTCTTCGGGATTGCCATTTAGTCTTATCATTACTTTGCAGTTCCTCGTCCATGTCGCTTGTATCTTATTTTGTTTTCTCAGGATGCGTGCCTGTCTTGCAATTTCAGCAGTCTTTTTCGTTAAATGTTCATTTAAATACACACCAGTCCCTTTTAGCTTCTTACCCTGTTTCAGTAACTCAATCTTTGTTTTGCGACTCACAAACCGAAGAATGATTGCTGGCTTTGTTTTACTGTCTTTTCTGGGGAGCGTGTGGCATGCTGCAATATGATGGCTCTGAATACTTACATTCTTCGTTTGAAGGAATTTTATCACTTGCTGTTCAAGCGTTTGCTGCTCCTCTACCGGGGCATCTTCACCGTCTTTACCTCCGCCAGCTGTTACTCTGGCGTAGGTTCGGTGTTGCGTCTCCAGACCACTTATGATTAAATCATCCATTCTTGTGTATTGTTCAAGGTCCTCGATTCGCCGTTCCAAGTCGTCTATTTTCTTGTCCTTGTCCTTTATGAGGTTTTTTAGTTGTTTTATTTCATCCATTAGGTCATGTAGCATACCTTGTTGTTTAGCCACTTTGCTCAGTTCATCAGACATGAAATTAAGCGATTTCCTAATCTCCTCCAACTCCTCTTCAACTCCTGGGTTTGCTTTTTTAGGTGGCATTTTGAAAATGATGAGATTGGTATTTCCTTTTAGCCAAAATATTGAACAGTGCAGAGAGATGCGGCAGTCTGTGTAAAATTATACACCTGTAAATCAGACGGTGTTACAGTGTAACAACACATAACACAGAAACACACACACTAATAGAGACATTAGTTTAGGTAATACAATGAGAGTAAATAAAAATACTGAACATATTTCAGTGGCTGATTGAGTTCTCATCATTTTTTTCATGCTTACAAAAACTATAAAACTATAGTTTTATATATAGTTGAAGCTTTCTATTTTAATTGTTTATCCATTCATCGGAGCTTATCCACTATTCATTGCTTCTAGCAGACTAATCTTAATGATGCATTGGTGTTGTCTTGACATAGGCTGTCCAGCTTCATTGGAGGATTGCACTGGACCATTGGTTCAGTACAGGAGGCAGGACTGACAGTAGGCACCAATCTTGAACAAGGGCTTAAAAAAGAACATGCTGAAAGAGTTACAGTGACATAAAAAGACAGAGGGGGAATACTGTGGCCTGTAACGATACTCCTAGAACACAAACACGTTTTGTAACTTACTCAGCACACTAAACATAGTCTTGGTCAGGTATCAAAAAGTGTGATTCAGATCCTTTCATGTCATGGATTTCCTCAACAAAGCCTGCTCATAAGATGCTGGTTACAGTTATGTAATGTATTTCCCAAAATATTGAATTTATCAGAACTAATTTTCTATGAAGTCTACATTGAAGACAAAGCTATTGACTGTAAGTAATTAATGCAACAACACTGAGACTGCTAAGCAGAAAAGATCTAGTGCTGCTTAAAATGAAAGTGAAGTTTACAGAATGGCATACAGTTGATATGTAGTATGAATATAACTGAAAATTAATCTGACTAAAAAGCAAAACAGCTATATATTTAAAAAGTAAACAAAAACAAAGACTTAATAACAACCAATGCAGATGAAATTATAAGAAAAAAATAAGAAAAACTGGACTTATTTAGAGCATGCTAAAACAGCACAACAGTACAACGTAACAACAACAACAACAATAACAATAATAATAATAATAATAGTGCCATTTATTGGTATGATGTAAGAGCCACTAAGAGTTGAAGGATCACTGTGTATAACAGAAATTGTTACAGAGAGAGCTCTGTGGACTTTAAGTGACTGGGTGCTGAGAGGACAGAAGTGCCTTGGTCAATTTGGCTCAATTAAAGAAACTAAATGAAACAGAATGACAGCAGACCGCGGAGAGCAAGAAAGGACAGCAAGTGATTGACAGAGACAGACTTCTACAGCAGCTGAGCCTCAGCTCAGATACAGTACAAAGGTTATAGCTATTAATACACCAGGACACATACAAACACACACATAATGTGACACATTTAATTTAATTGATGTCACTTCTGGTTCATGACGCTGCTCAAGTCAGCATTGCTCAGTTTACTCTCACCCTTTAACTTTGCTTTGCATTAATGTGAATAATCTGAAACCCCATGATATCCATTTTACTGTCAAGGAATCCATGTCAGTGGTTCGACCTTCAGCTACTCCAATATGAGCAATGTGACACGGGTAAGAGCACACTATGTACATATTGGGTGGTTGTGAATGACAAGAGCACTGAGGGAGAAGCTACTGTTACACTGAAGATAGCAGAAGAGTATTCTGGAGCTACAACTATGGGATGTCTCTGAGTGTCACAGCTGGGTTGACACTGCATTTTTGAAGAATCAGTGCAGGCGTGACCAGTGACAAACGCACAGTCTCACAGTCGCATGGCAGGAAACCAGGAAGGAGAGAACTTCTTCAACAGAAGCTCACTCAGCTCTGAACTAAAGCTGTGAATGGAGAACAGCAAACTTCCCTGACTCAGTAGAAGTGCCTGCTGGACTGAAGAATTTTAGGGCTGGATTTCATGGGTTGTCAAACGCCAGTTGTCAATTCATTCATACATACCCCTGGAAGTAAATACTAACGTCACAGCAGCTAACATTAGTGGACTTTTATCACACCCCTAAGCAACAGTGGATTTCTGGAGGATCAATCATCATTAATAATCATGCTCCAATGGATCTAATCTTTGAAAACTGCAGTTTGTTTCCCTAAATTCAGTGACTTTATTGTGCATTTGCATTTGTCTGGTCATTGCTACTATCTCCTGGACTACATAAGATGGTGAATTCTTCTTGTTTCTTCTTGAATTCTTCTGCAAATGTAATGTGTGGTTAGCGTTACATGCATTCTGTAGAGGATTACAGATTCATCACATGAAACAGTGAACACTGTTGGGTCTGAGGTGGATAATCTGCACAAACACAGCGAGCAGCAGGTGGCTTTTGTATATTGTTTGAAATTCAGTCAGCATTGTGGTCCAAATGTTCCTCAGCACAGTCCTTGTAGTCCTGACAGACCTGGCAGCCAGGTTTATGGGTACCACCTTGTTCCGGCGGCACTTCCACCTGTTGTTGTCAGCACTGGTGATGTTCGGTCCCATGCTGAGTCTTTGGGTGTCTCACCACAGCATCTTTGCCAAGAAGAATCACTTCCTCTACAGGTGAGACTGCTTCCTGTTACACTTCCTGTCAACTTTGTTCTGTCCTGATATTTAATATTTCATATTCAGTCGATATAATTTCTTCTTCCATCACGTCCTGTCTCCACTGCTCTCATCTCTGTTCTCCTTCTTCCAGGATGTTCTTGCACTCTGGTTGGGGTTGGACCTGCATCTTTGTTGGCTCTTTTGTTTTCCTCCTCTCCTTTTCCGTCCGTCGTTCCCTGTCTCTCTCCATCCGCCACCTCTCACGGCTTGCGGTGGCCGGTGGACTATGGCTTGGTTTTTGCAAACTCTTGGACCTCCTGGAGAATGCCACAGGAAGCTGCTATGAACCTTTAGAAGCTGGAACAGTGGTCACAAATGGCCAGACTCTGCTGGTGCTGCGAGAGGGGGAGAGCAAGTCTGAGTGTCTGAAAGCTGGAATGCTGTGGAGGGGATATGAGGTTTCTGAAGACATTTTCCTTCTCTGCCTTTGCTGCCTGCTGCTGGTAGAGGAAACAGCTGTGTTTGGACCTTATTTGAGCCTTGGGGGAATCTCAGATGCCCCACTGAGAATCCTCTTTCTGTTCTGTGTTCTTCTGCTCTGGCTCTGGATCTTCTTGTTGCTCTGTCTCTTAGCTTACTTTCCTCAGTTCCCCACCCAGCTGCTGGGGGGTGCTCTTGGCTGTCTCAGCTGGAGAGGACTATATCAGGGCTGGTACCGCCTGGGGCCCAGCTGGTACTGCCCCGGGAGGCCTGGTTTGGGACTACTTAACATAAAGGCTGTCGGTAATGACGTGGAGGATGCACAACTGAAACAACCAAATCACGATCACTGCAATTAACTTAAAAAACAAACAAACAAACATTTGAGAACTAACTGTAAAATAAATTGAATTCCAAACAAACAGCTGTACAGTGTGGGTTATCAGACCTCTTAATTCTTTCATGTCAAATATGTTTATTTACCTTTTCTGTTACATACAACCGATGATTCACATCTGCTCTTCCTTTGAAAGCTAGAATTGTGTGACAGCCAAATCAACCCAGCACTGGAAAGACAAATGGAGAACACAGAAGCAGATTTACAGAGACATTAATTTGGTCGAGTTTGCTCACTTTCTGTTTTGTCCAGATTTTTTGCTGTGGACTTCAAGGCAATGAAGAAGTGCCAAAAGCTACAGTCCTGTCACTTGTAGCCAGAGGTGGCAAAATATAGACATTCTGTTCTAAAGCAGAAGTGCAGTTCTTTATCATAGCGAGACTATCTCTGCACTCTGTTACATATTCCATATGTACGGGGTATGACCCCCATTGGCCGTGGCGTTACACCCCGTACATATGGAATATGTAATGAAGTGGAGAGATAGTCTCTCACTCAGAGATGTTACAATGTAACCGTACAATAGTTGCATTAAAAAAATACTCCAGTAAAAGTTGAAGAGTAGTGATTAAACTTCTTTACTCAAGTACAAGAGAAAAAGAAAGTGAAAAGCAGCTCCTTGAAGGACAATTCTACTAACCATTTTTATGCATAGATAACTGGACCTGCCACTATATTAATATAATATTAAAATGATATTAGTACATGAGAATACACATATTAGTCAAATCTAAATTCTAATGAATGCACCCAGCTTGAATCTGTTGTTTAGGACACAATAAGTAAAGTATTTTTTTCTTTTAAAGAATGTTAAGTGAGATTTGGCAAGTGGGGGAACACTAAGATCTGTTGTACTGGCTCAACGTGGGGAAAATGCTAACACTCACAATAATTTCGAATGTAAGCTTGAGCATTAGTAGACAAATTGTGATCAGCTTAGCTGCTGCTCTTTGTGGATTTAAACGACTGACTTCAACATGTGTTTCACAGCCATCTCGGTGGAGTTTCATTTCTTACACTAACAGTATACTGGATGTTGCCTTTATACTAGACAGGTGGATGAATTCATTCAGTGAATGAATCTAAGCATCATCAGCTTAAATGCAAATCCATCATCTACACTACATGTAACCTAACACTGACAACTACAGCCACTGAGTATCAGGCTAACACAGTGTTTTACTGTAAATTCACCAGATTGATGCAAGATAACCTGTTTATCCTGCACATAACTACCCTGAATGTTCATGAAACATTTGATGAACACATAATTAGTGCATGGTACAGTAGTACCATTTGCTCCAGTTCTTCTTGTTCTTGTCCCCACGCTTTGTCAGATGCTGACCAAGTCTGTAGGGGCTACTTTGGGGTTTAAAGTTAAAAAACCAGGCTGTGAGACCACGCGTGGAAATATCATAAACAAACATAAACTACCTGCAAAGCTGTGTGCCATGGGTCCTTGATGTCATATATACTGTTTTGTATATTTTGTTTTTCAGGACATTTCACAGTATAAAAAATAAATATTTTATCAAAATACATCATATACTGATAAAATATGGGATTCAAAATGATAAAATCACAGATAACCTTTGAATATTATTTTGTGTGCAGTTTGTTACAGAATGTGTCGCTAGACAAAGCTCCAGCTGACATTTTTTTTTCGGGGAGATAAAAGAAAGAGCGTTAACTTCACTCAGAGATGGAGAAAGATGTAAGAAAAGAAAGGACAGGAGAGGAAGACGAGAGGTTATGTTTAAGGGTAAGAACTGCTCAGTGAAACATGGTAAATTCCAGTCTGTGTTTTTGGTGATGTTTGTCGAGCTGATAGAAATGTTGTTGAAAAATTATGTTGTGTAGAAATGTTACACTCTCTGTGCTCATTTCTCTTTAGCGCAAGCTAGATCCTGACTACAATATCACTGGTGTCGCCCACTTTTATACTTTTATACTTTAATAATCGCTATAAATGATACAGTTGAACCTAAAGTAAGGAGCCTGTTTTGAAGACGTAAGGAGCAGGTAGTATAGATATTTGTGTTAAAATGTAGGGAGTAAAAGTGTAAAGAATTTTAAAAAAAATGAAAAAAATGAATACTCAAATGAAGTACAGATACCTGAAAATTCTACTTAAGTAGAGGAACAAAGTATTTGTAGGCTACTTGTTTGTAATTTTTAACAAGTAGAATAGTATAAACATGAACAGTAGCAGTAAATCAGACCAGATGACCAAGCAAACTTTAAACCAAGCCATTTTTACAGGGAATGTTTTTCACTGGAAGAAAGTCTAGTCTCACTAACATCTGGCTGTTAGTGAGAGTTCATAGTTCATAGTTCCGAATTCCATGACTTTATTTCTCCTGCTGACAGTTTTTTTTTTTATCTTGTGCTCATTTAATAGATATAACTTCTATTTGATTTTAACTTGTGCTAATGCATGATCACTTTATCTAAAATATATTTAATAGTCTTTGATGGGAGTGAAAAAGGGAAAGAACTGTCAAAATAACTTGACTTGGTGTGAAGGCTTAAATACAACATTCAGACTGTTGGAGGTCAAAACAAGCTTACGTGAGGCAATTTAAAGTCAAAGCTCAGTATAACCAAAGCCAAAGGAATCAGGCAGGTGAACAAAAAACGATGGCACAAAGCATCGTCTGGAATAGGGTTACGGGGCTCCGTAGGCCTTGGGAGAGAGCTCCGGGGAAAGAATCTGGTGATCAGGCCTTGGCCCTTAGGGTGTAACCGGTTTCTGCTTCACTCTGCTCTAACAGGCCAGCCCAAATAAACTGCTCCACTCTGCATAGGGGTGCAGGGTGGATAAAGAAATCACAATTTTTATTCAGAGTGCCAGTAGATTTTCTTTGTGTACAGGCTGTAATCACCTGCTCTGGTGTTTACTGCTCTTTGTAGGTTTATGTATATGTATCTGTTTAAAATTATACTAAGGCTTAGGATTCACCCCTATTCATTGTTAGAGGTGTGTAAAATTCTTACACTTGCTCGCTGATAATGTCGCAATTAGCCCTTCAAAAATGGTTAATACTGGGTCAAAAAACAAGACAGAAGAGAGAGATTAAGGCGATTGAGGCCTCCAACTGTGGATCCAAAACAAATGGCAACCTCGGGAGCCAACTCTTATATTCCTCTAGTTAAGTTTCCTTCCTTGTACAGAGGGTACATTTCTTTTCTACTTTTTTCTAACTGGCCCACCTTGTGTGACTCACAGGTGTCCTGACATATGTAAGATTTATTTATATTATGCTTTTCAAGAACAAAATGCACCTATACAGTTCATGGATGTAGCAACCCAGCAAACTACTATTTATTGATGACTTATCACACCACCCTCTAGTCCAAATACGGTTACCAACACTACTGTAGCCATATTGGTAACATTATGACTTAAAGTGAGTAATATCGATGTTTCTTCGCCCATCTTCTGTATACAATAAATAGTTTAAGAAGACAACTGAATGTTTTCTTAACTTATAACAGCATTTTTATTATTGCTGTATATTTTAATACTTTCCTTCCAGTATTGGCTGTAAAGACAAACTCAAGAGACATTTTTCCACCTTAATTCATTTTATTGATAAAACATCTCCAGAAAGAAAATATATACAAAACTTCAGCCATCAAAGAGCAGTTGATGGCTGCCTCGAAGTCTGACATCAAATCAGCCGTTAAAGTCCTCACACAGTTTTCACAGCACTCGAACATGTTGGGAGTTTGTCTCGTTCATCTAGCACATAGAAAGATTGTGAGCTTCTTGTTTGAAAAACAGATAACGTTTCCAATTGATGTGTTTTTCTGTAGGGTGTAAACTCAGTTTTCAACTCTTCCTAAATGAGTTCAATAATCTATCAGAAATTTTTCTAAAAGACAGGAATTCCTTCATTTAAAAAAAAAAAAAAAAAAAAGATGAGAAGGATCGATGCTGTGTATGTACAAAGCAATTCTAATGATCATCCTGGACTCACAGGAAGTACATGACAAAAGACAATAAAGGCATGGTTTTCATTTTTGTTTGCAGATGTCAATCTCAACGTTGCTGAATGTGCATCTGCTGGTCATTCCATCACCAAATAACTACAGTTGGTTCCTCAGTGGCATAATTCAGTGGTGGTGGATGACACTCAAGTCTGCAGTACTACAGCTTCTGAGCGCTGGTCAGCTGCAGCACCTCAGATGGTATAAACTACAGAGCACTGAATAATGACTGACCTGCTGTTTGTTGCTAACATGCTAACTGTTACAGCCAAGTCTGTGAATATTTTAGGTGTTTAAAGAGGAACGTGTTTGTATTATCAGTCTTAGTGAGAACTGACACAGGAAATGAAAGCTGGCCACTAGAAGGTGTCAGTGTGTTGTTAAGATTTTGGGGATAAAAAACCAAAAACGTTTTTTAAAAATGAAAAATTTCAGGGGGGGTGGGGGACATTATCAAGAGAATGAGGGGATGGGGGAGTCAACAGAGTCCAGAGCCTCCCAGTGACAATTCATCATGGCATCGTAGAGCTCCTCACTGCGCTGCATGAAATCTTTGTTCCACAGGTCGACGTCACACTCGGGAATGGGCTCTAGAAAAAAGAAACAACAATGCAAATCCCCACTCTGTGAGTGTCTCCGACATTTCTCTGGATAGATTTTTTCCCCTAATGTTATGTGACTCAGCCTTACCTTCTGCATTATCCTCATCTATGTCTTCAGCCTCCACATGGCTCTGCTGCAGAATGACATCAGGGATTAGAACTACTTTCTCAAACATGGAAATAAATCTGAAAACTGCCTGGATGTGATAATACATGGCACTAATTAACACAATATAAACACGGACAATGTGTCAGCTGTGCTATGTGTACTGGGTGTATACAGTGAACATGTTTCAGTGAACATTTTCACTTGGCAGTGACAACAGTTTGCAGTCAGTTAACTCAGCAGTGTCACTTGTCCTGTCTACACTGAAGCTGCTTTGTTCAATTGGCCCATTCTGGGTAAAGAGAGCTGGTGTTTGGATGAATTACTTGTGAGCATTCTATATAACATGATAAATGATGTAAATGAGAATCTTAAACTTTTGGAAGGAAGCTGATTGTTCTTTAGCAAAGGTTAGCAGTTTCTCACGCTAAAAGTCATTTTGCTAAGCTTTGCTAACTTCCTGAAATGTCAGGGTTCCTTTAAGCACTGGTGTGAAAGTGTTCCCCTTACCTCTACGGCTCCTGACATGTCTGTGGACATTGGTGGCATCCCCATGGGAGGTGGTGGCATCATGTGACCTGGTGGTGGGTATCCATAGGCTCCGTAACCGTAGTTGTAGCCACTGTTGTAGCCGCTGCCATAGCCACTGTTGTAGCCGGTACTGTTGTAGCCACCATACTGGTCGTAGCCCCCCCACTGAGAATAGTAACCCTGGCTTCCACCACTATGGCTGCCATAGTAACCAGACTGAGTCTGGTTGTAGTTGCTCTGGTAATTCTGGCCCTGGCCCCCGTGGTAGCTGCTCATCTTCTGGCTGTAAAACAACAAAAAGAACAATTTTT